CACAGCAGATTGAAGTAATATGTATATAAATTACATGCATGTAATATGAGAATAAATTGGTGTTTTTTTGTCATTGGAAATGTTTGACATTTCTTCTTGATGATTCCTATATGCCATTGGCATGCAAAATCAAAGTAATTTGGCCTACATTGTGTTTTAAAGAATTAAGTAAGAGAGTTGTGATTATTTTAAGGCTATTTTATGATCTCCTTCAGTATATTAGTCATCTTTTGACAGTAGGCACTGCCTTAACTCATATGTGTATTCCTGTTGCTTGCCATTTGGTTAACCCTGATATATTTTTTGAATGAATGCCTGTAGACAGGATCAGTGAGGATATTTGGTTTTGGGTAATTTTTTTTTTTCTGCATAACTGGATTGCAATGTTTCCAGTATGGCACTAGAACAAAAAAAAAATAGAAAAAGGAACTCAAGCTATAAGTTGTGTGTGTGGGGGGGTGGGGGGTGGGGGTACATTGTAAAGATTTGTTCTTAAGTTAAATTTTAAGAATGTTTTTATACCATTTTATCAGTTTTTATAGAATAGACAGAATTGTCTTACAGATATTAGAGTACAATATATGAACTATTGTTTTTATTATTGGATATAATAGTCGCTAGTATATGTTGGGTCCTTCAGTGGAGACCACAGTGATGTCATTAGCTCCTCACTAGAGGCCTTGTTTATCAGATATTGTAGTACCTATTCAGACTGCTGTAATTTATGGACTCTAAATTTTCATGCATTCATTCACCACAGATCTCTGGATTCCTAATGGACAGGCAGGTACAATTTCTTTTTATATGTTAGCTTCCTTCCTAACTTTCTTTTTCATTTAGTCATTTTCATGTAGTTCCTCTTGCATCTTTATCTGTATTTTTAGGAACAACCTATAACTAGAATAACAAAGTCTTATGCTTGATCTGTGGCCCTTTAGAGAAAGAGAAGCACCTGGGGACTGATAATTATGAAGCACTAAGAGGCAACTTAAGGACTAGAAATTTGGGCAGTATTTTTGAGAATTTATTTTCTTTCCCCATAAAAATGACTTTATTCAAGGTTATTTATAGAATCAGGTTATTCAAACAAAGATATTTCAAACTGACACTTAGCTTTCACTTTTATGATTTTAGAGATTTAAAAAAATTTTTAAAATTTACATTGTGCTACTGTCTGAACTAAGGTATATAGGAAAATTATGATAGAGCAGAAGCAGCAACATAGAAGACTAACTGTGATATAGACATAGAAGTAAAATAATTGAGTCATTTTATTGGCCTTATATTTCATGAGCCAGATGCAGTAGAAAAATGGAGAAAACATGTAAATAATAAAATTCTTTTGAATATATGGACTAGTGAAATATATTTTTTGAGGGTAAAATACTTTACTTCTAAATTATAAACTGAAATTTTTCAAAATTGGGGGTTTTGTGATGAATTGGTTAAATATCATGACTAACAATAAACACTTATAATTAAATTAAATATTATAACCCCAGATAAATTAATTCACTCTTCAAATTCTTAACATAATAATTCAAAGTTCTTTAGATTTAATTCCAAATATAATACAATATGAATAACCCAGTATGGATTGATTTACTAATTATATTTCAAGACAGTAAACCACTGCCTTCACATAAATATATCAAGTGGGGGGAAAAAAAAAAAGAAGAAAAGAAAAGAAAAAAAAGGAAATACCAGAATCATCAGGAAAAAAAAGTAACATGAAACCTAATTGTGATTTTTAAAAAATTATTCCAGGGGGCTGGCCAGTTAGAGCATGGTGCTGATAACACCAAGGTAAGGGTTCAGATCCCCACACTGACCAGTTGCCAAAAAATAAAATAATTCTAAGCAAACTTTATGTTTTTTGGCTTCATTAATGCATTTATTATGGAACTTTAAATATATGTTAACAAACTTAGGTTTTCTTTTTTAGTGTATTGGCTTATTTTAATTAAAATGGTGCATATTCATTATAAAAATACCAAGTAATACTCAAAAACAACAACAACAACAAAAACAACCCAATTCAAAAACGGGCAGAGGACTTGAATAGACATTTATCCAAAGAAGATGTACAAATGGCCAATAAGCACACGAAAAGATGCTCAGCATCATTAGTGCAAAGAAAATGCAAATCAAAACCACAATGAGGTGCTACTTCATACCCATTAAGATGGCTATTATTTTAAAAAATGGAAAATAAGTGTAGGTGAGCATGTAGAGAAATTGGAACTCTTGTGCTTTGCTGCTGGGAATGTAAAATGACACAGCCGCTGTGGAAAACAGTTTGGCAGTTCTTATATATTGGTGATGGTTGCATAACTTTATGAATATATACAGTAGTCTCCCCTAATCTGCAGTTTCGGTTACCTGCAGTCAACAGAGGTTCAAAAATATTAAACGGAAAATTCCAGAAATAAATAATTCCATTCTGAGTAGCATGATGAAATCTCACGCTGTCCCGCTCCTTCCCACCCTTATTTTACTTTATAATGGTCCCAAAGTGCCAGAGTAGTGATGCTGGCATATTATTATAATTGTTCTATTTTATTATTATATTGTTAATCTCTTACTGTGCCTAATTTATAAATTAAGCTTTATCATAGGTATGTATGTATGAGGGGTTTTCAAAAAGTTCATGGAAAGATACATATTATCTTTTTTTTTTCCCTTGGTGGCTGGCTGGGACAGGGATTGAACCCTGAACCTTGGTGTTATCAGCACCACACTCTAACCAACTGGCTGTTGTGGGGATCTGCACCCCTGACCTTGGTGTTGCAAAGCTGTGCTCTAACCAACCAAGCTAACTAGCCAGCCCATATTATCTTTTAATTCTATCCTTCCACAAACTTTTTGAAGTATCCCTGTTTAGGAAAAAGCATAGTGTATATAGGGTTCAGTACTATCTGCAATTTCAGACATCCACTGGGTGTCTTAGAGTGTATCCCCCAAGGATAAGGGGAGACTACTGTACTTAATGCCACTGGATTGTATACTTAAAAATGGTTAAAATGGGCTGAGCCCGTGGCGCACTCAGGAGAGTGCGGCGCTGGGAGCGCAGCGGCGCTCCCGCCGGGTTCGGATCCTATATAGGGATGGCCGGTGTGCTCAATTGCTGAGCGCAGTGTGGCTGGTCTCAAAAAGGACAAAAAAAAAAAAAAATGGTTAAAATGGTTACTTTTATGTTATTTATATTTTACCATGGTAAAACAACAAAAAATCAAGTAATAAAGAAAATTACAAGGAAGAAATCGACAAATTCTTTTAAACCCAGGTTTCCAGAAATAACCTGTGTTATCATTTGGAAGTCATTCTATTACTTTAAACCTTTTTTGTGAGATATTTCAGAAGTTATTTCTATCAAAAAATATAGATGATAATATAAGCAACGCCCATAAACATGAGGTTTGTTTAACCCGAGCTACAACCCAAGAGAGAGCAGGAACCCTGTGCGCCTGCAGAGCCAACCAGCCTGAGCTGGTTGGATTCACACTTGCAACTGTGGCCTTATAGATGATGACCTAATCTAGACAACATAGAGATAAAAATGATGACTAAATGACACTGGGGACTAGGAATAGCCACAGGTCACATCATTAAATGTGGCTGTGGTACGCCTCATTATTCTCTGCTTATATTGTACTGTTTCTCTTATTTTGGTTTAATTGTACGTGTTATTGTAAATGTTTGTTTTAATTCTATTTCAAATGTTTCTAGATATAACATTGTAAAAGAATATTGATAATACTTGCTTTTATGTATGATTGAGACATATGTTTAATGAAAAGATGTAATGACACCAAGTTGAATAGCCTGGTGTAAATTAAGTTTAGAAAGCCAAGGGACACTTTGTTCCAGTTTGAATTGTGTCATTACCCTTCTTGTAACCTTAAACTAAAATAGCATCATTGAAGCAGAAATAGCAATTGACTATTTTGCAGATTTTATAGTATGGCGAAGTTAATATAAAGAATTGTAATATCCAGTAAAATGAGCAAAATGCAATTATTATTGGTCTCCTTTTCCTTACCTCCTCAATTTTCAACCTTACTCTTTATTTAACAATTATCAATAATGTCTGAATTCTAATCTTGTTCTACCATTTACTAGTTATGTGACAATTTACTTAACTTTTCTCAGCCTCAATTTCCTCATCTGTAAAATGGACATAATACTAGGGCTTACTTCATAGGCTTGTTATGAGAGTTAGTTAAGTAAAATTAACACAGAAAAAATTCTTGGACCAATGCTTGCACATAAGTGCTTGGTAAATATAAGCTACTTTCATTAGTGTTGTTGTGGTGATGATGATTATATACCTACTATGTATTCACCCCTAGGATGAATATTATGAGAGCTATTAATACAATATACCTTCTTATTTCAGGGAATGTATTGGATAACACTCATGCAGACTTTCATGAATGTGAGGCCCTAGTCAAATGGCTCTCCTAGCTCCCTCAGCTCTGAGATAGATCCTGATAAGATTTCTTTAATAAACTATAGTTTAGTTGGAATAAGAGAAAATAACCAATAGACTTCATTGAGAAGAAAGGACCTGAAATGAGCCTTGAACGATAGGATTTGCAAAGGCTGGAGAGAAAAAAAACCTACTTTTTTTTTTTCTTTCCTGTCTGCTGTGTGCTAGGCATTATACCATACACTCTACAACCTATCTCTGCATTCCTCACAACAGTCCTGTCAGGTCACATAGCTAGTAGCTGCTGAATGAGGGATTTAAACTCTTACCTAACTCAAAAGCCTTTCTTATTTCTAAGCTATGCATCTTACTCAATAATTACAGCTTGTATTATTCTGTGTCTTGGCCAGTTAGATGCTTCTAAATATCCCATTAGTTTTTAGTGGATAACATTTTTGTTTTTACTGGGTTTTTTTTCTTAATTTTCCTTTCTACATATATGCTGAATTGTATGTTTGCTTTTTAATTTAAATATTGTTGAGTTGTGTTTTTTCATAATTTAAATCAGGTGTAATGTCTTTGCTGAGGCCTCTTCTTCTGGATGTGGTCCCAACAATTCAACAGACTGCTGCTTTGGCTCTTGGGAGACTGGCCAATTATAATGATGACCTCGCAGAAGCAGTTGTCAAGGGGGACATTCTTCCACAGCTCGTTTATTCGTTGGCAGAACAGAATGTAAGAATTTTTTTTAATAAGTTATGTGTTTTTTGTTTTATATTTTGAAAAATTTGATAGTTTGGGTACAGTTGCAAGCTTCTAGGCATTCAAATTATTTGGGTTTTAATATAACCTTAATTCTCTAAACTGCACATAATAATATCTCTGTAGTATTGTGCTTTGGAGCTGATATGTGGCTTTTCTCCATTACTGTTAATATAAAGAGAAAATAGATTTAAAATTTTGGGGGGGGGAATTATATATAAAGCAGTATTTCTGTGAGAGTTTTAGACAAAGCTGTAGGATCTGTCTCAGGGAGATGTGTAGGGCCCCAGGCAAATAAATAGCTGCTTTCAGCAATTCTTATATGCAGGTGAAATCTGGTCAATGGAAGCAGTGAGAGAAAGCCTTGAAGCAACCAAAAGCAGGAAGAGATTGTATGTAATGGAAGATCTGAAAAAGCATTTTTTTTTAACCAAGTACAAACATGTCAGCTGTTTCAAGCACGTCTAAGAGTGCCCCAATTGTTTTCTCCTCCTATCCAGTGCCACTCCATATTTCTACACAGTGCCACCTATTTGGTTTCCACAATAGTTAAGGACCTCCCGAAGGTAGAGTCTTGGACTGTTCATTCCATTCTAGTGGTTTATCATAACCTAGGGATCTATCTTTCTTGACATATCTTTAAGCTTTAATCCCTATTTGTGCAATAAAAAGACAAATAACCCAAGTGAAAAATGGGCAATGGACTCGCCCAGATATTTTTTCAAAGAATATCCACAAATGGCCAACAAGCATATGAAAAGATACTAACCAGCATGAATCATTAGGAAATGCAAATCAAAACCACAGTGAGATAACTCTTTACACCTACTAGGACGGACATCATAATAAAGAAAAAAAGGAAAGTAACAAGTGTTGGTGAAGATATGGGGAAATTGGAACCCTCATACATTGCTGGTAGGAATATAAAATGGTACAGCTGCTGTGAAAACCAGTTTGGTAGGTAGGCAATAAGTTAAACATTGTTACCATGTGACTCAACAATTCTACTCCTACTTATCCAAAAGAATTGAAAACAGGTGCTCAAACAAAACTTGTACACAAATGTTCATAGCAGCATTATTCACAGTAGCCAAAAGGTAGAGGCAACCCAAGTTAATCAATAGATGAACAGATGAGCAAACTGTTGTATATCTTTACAGTAGACTATTATTCAGTCATAAAAAGGAATAAAGTACTGATAAATACTACAACATGGATGAACCTTAAAAACATTGCTATATTAAGTAAAAAAGCCAGAAACAAAAGGCCACATATTGTATGATGCTATTTATATGAGATATTCAGAATATGCAAATCCATAGAGACGGAAGCAGATTAGTGGTTGCCAGGGGCTGGGGGAGAAGGGACTGGGGCAAGAGTGCTTAACTTGTAAGGTGTTTGCTTTTGGAGTGATGAAAATATTTTGGAACTAGACTGCACAACATTGTGAATGCACTAAATGCCACTGAATTCTGTACTTTAAAATGGTTAAAATGGCAAATTTTATGTTATGTATATTTTACCAGAATAAAAAAATAAATCCTAATTGTGCAGAAATTTGCCTTATTTTTATAGACTGGAGAGTCATTTACTAATGCCTATTATAGCTCTACAGGGAGTCACAGGAATTTTACTTTTCTTGTGGATATTCCTTCTGTCATCAAATACTGTTAGACTTTCTTCCTCCTGGACTCTTAACTCTTTGTTTTGAGAGCAGGTATATTTTGTTATCCCACACAGAAGGTTCTCAGTATGAATGAATTCCACTAGCTGTAAAGAGATAAAAAAAAAAAGTACTGGGACAGAAAAGTGGGGAGTCAGTGAGAACGGGAAGCATTATTCCAGCGTGTCTCCTTCCCCTACCAGACTTTAAATCATTCTCACAGGAGATGTAATCTCCTGTTTATGAGGTACAAAGTCCTGTGGTTTTGCTTTTGCTTTTTTTTTTTTTTTTAAGGCAATTCTTTGGCAAGGAATAGGAGAGAAGAGTGTTAGGAATTTGGGGGAATTGGAAATTAGGAGAAAGAGGGAATGAGATCAGAAAGTGTGAATTATAGGCAATGTAATTAGTAGTGCCTGTTGATACGTATAAATTGTAAATTTGCCAATTTTGCAGTATAAAAAGTCAAATTAGCTTAATGTAATGACAAGAAATATATCACCATTATTTTTCCACAATTATAGGAAAATAATCTACAGAAATTTAATTCCACCCTAATTTTTACAATAAATTACTAGAAATTTGGTTACTGATATAATTTAAGAAACTAAAAAAGATATATCCAATTAAAACATCAGTACTAACACAGCATACTTCTTTTATTAGCAACATATATTAATTTTTAGGTATAATGTGCTAAAAATATACCTGATATATTTTCTCTCTCCTATAATTTTTATTGTATCAGTATTTTAGCCTAAGTAAATAGAATGCTTTCAAAACAGGTGCTGTAGCTACCTAGTCACTTTTTAGTAGTCACTATAAAGAAATAGAAACTCAGAATGTAAAACAGGGGATAATTTGGTTTTATTAATAAAAGAAAGAGTTAGGAGACCATCGCTGTGTCATTATGCTAACCATAGAACAATAGTGAGTGTAGCTACCTAGTCACTTTTTAGTAGTCACTATAAAGAAATAGAAACTCAGAATGTAAAACAGGATAATTTGGTTTTATTAATAAAAGAAAGAGTTAGGAGACCATCGCTGTGTCATTATGCTAACCATAGAACAATAGTGAGTCTTTCAGCCAAAGCTTTCCTATACATTTAATTTTTTTTAGCAATATTTAGAGAAACATGTTAGTCTTGTGTTTTAGTTTCATTTTCTTATTCCTTAATTAGATAAGGTTTATATATAGGAAATATTATAAGTATAAAACTATTTAAAATTTGCATAATGGTACTTAATTTGCTTTGTCTTTTTAAAGAAGCATTTCTAGAGGGGATATTTATATCCCATTGTTTGGCTAATTTATTTACCAGGAAAAGTTTTTAGATATATCACAAACGTTTTGCCTTTATTTTTATTTGATGATTGGTAAGTACATTTTGGAACATGGTTGTTATCTCAGGATAACTCGGGAAACCAGAAAGATTAGTTGAGGTCATGAAAGGCCTACCATGCTTACCCACTGAGGTCAAGTGAAGGAAATGAATTAGTCGGTTGACAGCGAGGTTAGTTGCACATGCTAACAATCTAAGAGTTCCCATGGGTCAAACAATACATTTCAGTGTAATGCAGATACATAAAATCTCATTATTTTATGAATTTGTAGAAAGTATAATGTTTATATTTTGTTTTACAATTTCCAAATGCATGCTTCAGAGTAAACATTTGAAATGTAATTTAACACCTTGTTTTCTGTTTAGTTATTGAGCAAAAGCAATGGGGTAACATAAAATAACCAAAATGATTTTACAGGAGTTTTTCATCTTTTGTATTCAAAAGCTGTTGGGCCTTACTTATATTAATGCCATTTTTAAGTTGGTTTTGGTCTGTTTTAGATTTTGGTTATGGAAGTGCTCGATGCATTTTGGGTTTTGTGTGTTTTACCTTTGTAGCGTTTTTACAAGAAAGCAGCGGCCTTTGTGTTACGAGCAGTTGGTAAACACTCTCCTCAGCTGGCTCAGGCAGTGGTTGACTGTGGAGCACTGGATACACTGGTGATATGCTTGGAAGATTTTGACCCCGGAGTCAAGGAAGCTGCAGCCTGGGCACTTGGATATATTGCAAGACATAATGCAGGTAATGGAGCATACATTAAAATAGGATTATTAAAATTTAGATTTAAATCCGATTTTGTTTGGTAAACCATAGATGAGGTTTTGATGACGTTTCTGCACATTATGAGAGATAAGTTTTGAATAATGACCAAGTTGTTTGGATCACATGTTCACAAAAATCCTATATATTTCAGTCTTAGCTAGCAGAAGGGAAATTTGAAGGCAGGATGAGGAAGAAAAGAGAGAAAAGAGGTGCCAGGGGAATGGGGGAGTGGGATTGATTCTCAAAGGCTTTGATAAATTGGTGCAGTTAAAAAAAATTATTTTAGTTTGTCAACCCTCATGGGGTCATTGGGGCTTCACTCTTACTTGTGACAGGATATTCTGAAGTGGCCAGGAGCCGTAACACATGAGTGAGTGATGTTGAAAAGATACGGACATAACTTTCTAGAAAATATTTGTATTCTGCTCATATTGGGCAAGAAAGAGGAGGAAGAGAAGGGGTGCTTTCTCCTATAAACTGACATTTCAGTGAAGTCGTCAAGAAGGGACCTGGGCCTCTTGTGAGAAGGTTGTGCAGACATATCCAATTAGTAAAAAATAGAGGGAACAGAATTGGCCCACCACTTAAGAGAAGTTGCTTATGAACAAACAACATAGAAGAAAATCGTTTTTTAACAAATGTATGTAAAAATGATCATAATCAATGAACTGCATATTAAATATAATGAATATATCTTTTTCCACCCATTATTACTGGGGGATGGGGGGTGGGGAAGGGAGAGTAAAGCAGCAATATAGCCAAGTGGTTAAGAGCACTGTGGCATTAGTTAAGATCTGAGTTTGAGTCCAAGTATTACCATTTAGTTGCTGTGTGAGGTTGGACAAGGCTTTTAAACTTTCTGAACCTTAACTTCCTTATCTGCAAAGGAGGGTAAATAATAGTAGCTACTTCAGAGATTTGTTGTAAGGATGATGAAATAATATATGTAAAGGGTTAGACCAGTGCTTGGCATACAGTGAGTACTCAGTAAATGTAAGATATTAGTATTAATACTGAAGGCTGGAGAGGACATTATGATGTTTATGCACATTTGTGAAGGATCTACAAATTGGGGAAACCTGTGGAAAGCAGCTTGGCAAACCTAATCTAAGTCATAAAAAAATTCGTTCTTATCCTAAAAAGCCTGCTTTGGGAATTCATCTTGAGGAGAGTATCCCTCAGAATGAAAAGGCTACATTCATGAAAATGTTACTGTTGGATTTGTAATATTAAAACACCTCAAATATTTGACAAATTTAGTGGTTAAATTATGGTAGTCTACTTAATGGAATCTCATGCAACAAATTTAAAAAGGAATTATGAATCCTACATGATAACATGGAAAAGTAATTATAATATTTAAAAAGATAAAATTGTATATCATAATTGTTGGGAAAACAGAATAATTTAATCAGACCCCCTCGCCTCGGGGCAGGTTGGGGGCAGTGCAGCATTCTTCGTGGGCAGGTTGTGTGTGGCTGGAGTTAGTGCGCCTGCGCGGTGCCGCCACCTTGGCTGGACTTCACTGCCTCTTGCAGCCACTGAGGGCGCAGCCATGCTTTCTAACCTGCCCCTTCCAAGGACCTGTTTGCCAGTTACCTAGCTCATAAACCTGTGTGTGAGGCATCTGGTGATCCAGCCTGGCGCGTAAGGGGTCTGGTGACCCACCCTGGCATGTGAAAGGTTTGTGACCCAGTCTGTGAACGGGCTTGAGGGGTCTGGGAGCTCCAGACCCAGCCCTAGCTCAACAATCGGCCCAGTCGGTGCAGGATTACTGGCCTCCTGGAGGTAGAGTAAAAAGAGCACGTAAAAGAGGCAGGTAAAAGAGCACGACAACTGGCGTGGTCGAGTAGCTTTACACATAATTATAAGAATCTACAAATAAGAGTTTTTGAATTCAATTTTATTTATGTTTACTTTTGTGGGGTACAGTGTATTGTTTCAGTACATGCATATCCTGCACAATGATTCACTTAGGGCTGATAGCATAGTTTTGTCCGCATTAGTTCATTCCTAATCTTCCCCCCAACCCCGAGCCCTCCTACCCTCCCAGAATAATAGAATAACCATTATTCTACTCTCTCTTTTTTTTTTGACACAAAGATTAACATCTTAATTGCAAAAAGGACTCTACAATGAATTAGAAAAACCTAAGCAGAAATTTGGTGAAGGACATGAGCAGATAAGTCACACACGTCAAAGAAACACAATTGGTTAATAAGTACATTCTAGGATCTGGTTGC